TCCAGTTTGCTTGAGGCATATGAGCACGCAAAAGTTTGTGTATTTGTTTTTACCTACAAAAAAATTATTGTTGCACTCTAGTTTCTACTGATTTATATCTTTGAAGATGTCAGAAAATGAGTTTCTCTTTTAATTAAAAGAGATTTCATTTTATATATTTTTTTCTTCGATCTTCCTGAAGACTGTTTCATTAATTATTATTAACTTTTCTTAATCCTGAAGTTATATAGCCAGAAGGATGTAGAATTGGCAGTTGATGGCTCAGGCAGCAGACAAGGTCGGTCGACCGCGTTCGTGCACAGAAGGCACTGTGCGTCTGGATTAGTGGCGGTCGACCGCGACGGTCGACCGCAGAAGTTTCTGTTTTTGGGACGGTCGACCGCAGGAGTTTCTGGTCTTTACTGCTGCTCTGGGATTGAGGGCGGTCGACCGCCACGGTCGACCGCCGCAGTAGTTTTTGGCTGAATCTGTTTGCAGACCCGTTTTGTTTGGGTTTTCTATAAATACCCAAAGTCACGGTTCTAGGGTAAAGGCAAGAGGGTTTCAGCAGCCATTGTGGGGGATTTCTTGGGCTTCTATTGTTAGAGCATTTGGGAGAGATCAAGAGTGATTTGTTGAGGGTTTATGAGAGATTTGTAACCCTAGTTGTATCCCCTTGATTTCTATTAGTGAAAACTCCCCCTTCCTTGCCCCGTGGACGTAGGCATTTCGCCGAACCACGTTAAAACTAGTGTTTGATTATTTGTGTTATCTATTGGTTGTGTGGTTTATCTCTCTCGGCTATTTGGTTGGATCTCGGCATAGGGGTTTCTCCCCAGCAAGTGGTATCAGAGATCCGGGCAACGCTTGGGCTTTTTAGAGGTGTAGATCAGTTGGGAAGTTCATCTAGAGCTTCGATTGGTGATAAAGGTGGGATCTTTATGGTAAAGTTTCTATCTTTTTCAAGTTGGATCTATTTCTTGTTTGTTCCGTAATTGTTTGGGTGCTTTGAGATATATGGCCGGGAAAGATAAAAGTGGGGAGGGTTCTTCTAGTGTGAAGACCGTCCAAAGTTTGAATATCCATTCTATGAAGATAGATGTGGAGAAGTTCGACGGCACAAATAATTTTGGACTTTGGAGATGTGAAGTCTTGGATGCGCTAAATACGCAAAATTTAGAAGATACGTTAGAGTTGGACGAGAAACCGGACGACACTGATGAGAAGGTTTGGAAGAAAATGAATAGAACGGCGTGTGGTGTGAGTTAGGTCTTGTCTTACCCAAGATCTAAAATATGATGTGATGAATGAGACTTCGGCAAAGAAGATTTGGGAAGTCCTAGAGGGCAAGTATTTGGCGAAGAGGGTCGAAAATCGTTTGCATTTGAAGAAGAGACTTTATCGCTTCCAATTGAAGAAGGGGACATCTATTAGTGATCACATGAACCACTACACGAAGCTACTTACAGATTTGGCGAATGTAGATGTTATAGTTGAAGATGAAGACAATGCATTGTTGTTATTGAGTTCCTTACCCGACGAAGAATATGAGACCTTCGTCCTCACTCTTATTAATGGGAAGACATCTCTTTCGTATAGTGAGGTCACCGTAGCTCTTGTGAATTATCAACTTCGTAAGAAGGACAAGAAGACTTCCATTGAGCTAGTTGCGGGGGCATTGGTTGCAAGAGCTAGAAGTCCAAATCGTGATAGGAGGTCGCAGTCTAGAGGGGGGCATCCTGCAGTTGGTAGGAATCAGTGTGCCTTTTGTAGAGAGGATGGACATTGGAAAGCCGAATGCCCAAAATTGCAAGCCGTGAAGAATAAGGGGAAGCTGTTCAAGCTTCAGATGTGAATGTTGCCAAGGCTAGTGATGACGTTTCAGATTCAGATTCTTCGGGCTATTCGTGCCCAGCTCTTCTGTTAGTTGGTGTTGCCGACTCCACCGAGTGGATGTTGGATTCGGGTGCTACTTACCACATATGCCCTAGGAGGGATTGGTTCTCCAGCTTTCAGGAGTTGGAAAGAGGGGATACTGTACTTATGGGTAATGATCATAGATGCCCTATTGGTGGTATTAGTACTGTTCGTATTCGGACGAGTGACGGGATGATTCGGGAGTTGGTTAATGTGAGGTTCGTTCCTCAACTGAGGAAGAACATCATTTCATTTGGGGTATTGGAGGCAGCAGGCTATAGGGTGACCTTGGCGGATTCTCGCTTAAAGGTCAGATCAGGGTCTATGATTGTGATGAAGGGCGTCAGGAGGAGTAACTTGTATTACCTGCTTGGGAGCACGATGATTGATAGAGTGCTGACGACTTCTTTGGCTAGACTGTGGCATTGTTTGGTGCTGGGGTATATTATTGGTTATGCCATGCATAGGTTGTTGAGGAGTGCTATGACCTGCAGATTAAAGTCCTGTGAGAACATTGGGATGAGCGAAGAGACCGAGGTGGAGTTCAGCACTTCTATCCATCGATCGAGTGGTCTTATTAGAGGTGTTTAGTCAGGCATTAGGGGGCCTTCCATGGAGGCATCATTGGGAGGTAATCACTATTTTGTTTCCTATGTTGGGGATTGTACTAGGCATATATGGGTTGCAACCAAGTCCCTTTGGTATGAAGCCCTAGTAGTCCGCAACAGTTGGAGGAGGTGTATGGGCAGAAAGGTTACCCGTCGTACTAGTTCTAGAAGGGGTTTTTTCTTGCATTGGTGTCAAGCTCATGACAGTTGGAGACACTTCAGAGGAGAGGAGACAGTGGGGCGACGTGATGAGATGGCGGATTTAGAGGGCCGTTCTTTTCTGGAGGAGGATCGACATGGGTCGTCGAGCAGTGGATTTGATATTCAGGCTTCGACAGGTTTGGGCCATCTTATGAGGTTGCCGACTAATGCGTTAGATATTGTTAGATCTGGTGGAGCTTCTTCAGATTTTGGTTGGCGTCGGATATTGGGCTACCCAGCACGTGGCCACATCGTTGATGTAAGATTGGATCCAATTGCGCATTTGGGATTCAGAGGCTCTTTTGGCTATTAGTTGAGGGCTTCTGAGTTTGGTCTGAGCAGGTATGTCACTTTGGACTCTCAGCAGGTAGAGAGTATTGATCAGATCAGTGGGATATCGCAGCGGGTGGAGATTGATGCTACTTCACATCGGGTGGAGCTTATTCCACATACTCCAGGTCATTTTGCAATAGTTGGGATTCCGGCTGAGGTGACACAGTTTGGGGATCAGATTGTTCAGGATACAGATGACTAGTTGGTAGATCCGTGTGTAACTGGTGGATATAGCTTGGATATGACCATTGGTTCACCTTAGGTGGAGGTGTTTGGATCATTTCAGTATGGGGCCGTTAGTGATGCTATCAGTCGTACATTGGATGTTGGTATTGGTGAAGAGTTGAAGACTCTTCTTTTGGATTGAGGGTCTTTGGAGGCCATTGGGTGAACTACGTGAAGGCTTGATTCCTTGGAGAGGATACATAGGCAGTCAGTTTTGATGCAACTGATTTGGTGAGTAGACATAGTTGTTTTGGGGTGAGTGTTTGCACTCCCGTTTGGGTCTCGACGTGTTGTGGATGGGGTCCGTTGTCATGAGTCCGTTGCTATGGCGTACTGCATTTGGTTTGGTTGGTGTCGGCTCAGTTTTGGAAGAATCTTCGCCGAGGTGGAGATTTGTAGAATTGGCAGTTGATGGCTCAGGCAGCAGACAGGGTGGAGGTTGACCGTGGCAGTCGACCGTGTTCGTCCACAGAAGGGACTATGCGTTTGGATCAACGACGGTCGACCGCGACGGTCGACCGCAGAAGTTTCTGTTTTTGGGACGGTCGACCGCCGCGGTCGATCGCAGGAGTTTCTGGTCTTTACTCCTGCTCTGGGATTGAGGGCGGTCGACCGTGGCGATCGACCACTGCAGCTGTTTTGGGCTGGATATGTTTGCAGACCCATTTCGTTTGGGTTTTCTATAAATACCCAAAGTCACGGTTCTAGGGTAAAGGCAAGAGGGTTTCAGCAGCCATTGTGGGGGATTTCTTGGGCTTCTATTGTTGGAGCATTTGGGAGAGATCAAGAGTGATTTGTTGAGGGTTTATGAGAGATTTGTAACCCTAGTTGTATCCCCTTAATTTCTATTAGTGAAAATTCCCCCTTCCTTGCCCCGTGGACGTAGGCATCTCGTCGAACT